GGCGTGGGTTGAGCAACTGCATATCGAGGTTAGCACTCTGTCAAAGTCATAATGGGGATCATGGTAAACACGCACGTCTTTCGAGTTCAAACTCGAGCTTTGTGATGGGCGTGATCGGGCGGACGAGCTCGCTATGCGATTTGGACTTCTCGCGCCTCTTCGACGGCGACAAGTCGAGCTCCAGACTCGGTGCCTTCCGCTTCGTCTCGGGCGAACGCGTCACGACCGTAGCCCGCCGCTTGCGCGACGGCGTCTCGGGCACCGCCAACCCCGTCCCGCTCGCCTCGACGCCCGCGGAGAGCTTCTCGCCGAAGAACGAGCGGGACGACTGCTCGCGCTCGTCGTTGTACCCGTGCGAGACGCGGCTCGGCATCTCCGAGGGGATCGTCGGCAGGCTGTGGTCCGCGAAGTTCATCGTGTTAAGGAAGGACGGGCTCGGGAGCGGGGACGCAGACGGCGAGGCAGACAGCATGCTGCGGTCGAACATGCCCGACTCATACTCGTTCACGAAGATCTGGTTCGCAGGGAGGATCTTGCGCGGGACGCGGTTCGCACGACCAGAACGGTTGCAGGACGACCGACGAGATATGGGCGCAACTGGCAGCGGCGGAGGGGGAGGCCCCGAGCTGGAGGAGGCCGCGAAGTTCTGGCGAGCCTCGTCGACGACCTCTGCGCAATTGTTAGTAACTGTCATCACGCATAGGTGTACAAGGCGACTGCACTCACTCTCGACGTTCTGGATCCAGAGCGTCATCCGGTCCATCTTCTTCTCCTCTGCCGTTCGCTCATCGTCGTCTGTATCCGCCACGCGCCAGTCAGTCAATGATGATAAAGAGTGGTCAATGTCAAGGACACACTCACCCTTAGCAGGAAGAACCTCGTCCTCCCAAGATGCGCGCGCGCTCAAGCTCGCGCGCGACTCCTCGTCCGCGTTGTCGGATCCGAGCGTCAGTGCCGGAGTCGACCGCCCAAGCAGCTGCGTCGACGACTTGTACAGCCGCACCGCACCGCCTGTATTAAGTCTGCCGTCAGCTCCCAGTGCAAGGCGTTCGGAGAATGAGCACGTACCAAGGGACATACGTAAGCTCTGCTTGATGACGCTCATGCCCGACTCGTTGGAAGTCGCAGAGGTGTTCGCCACCGCAGCCTCCTCGTCCTTCGGCAACGGGGACTCAACGAGGTGCGAAGGCTCCTCAAACAACGGACTCAGCGGCGTCGTCGGGTGCACACTGCCCGTGGGTGACAGCGGCGGACCGACACTGATCTTCGGGAGGAAGTAGTGCACCTCGCGCTCCTGCGACCATTCCCGCTCCCGCTCCGCGCGCTGCCTCTCGCGTTCCAGCTCGCGCGACCTCTCCATCTCCACCTCGCGCTCGCGCTCCCGTTCCATCTCCCTCGCGCGCTCCCACTCCCGCTCGCGCTCCCGCCGCACCTCCTCGTCCTCCTCTGTCGGGGTCTCGACGTCCACGTCACGCAGTTGCTCCTTCAGCCGCTCCATCTCCCGCAGCCGCTCGCGCTCGCGTTCCCACTCCTTCACCCGGTTGCGCACCGAGTCGCGGCTCGTATCCGACACGCTCGTCCTGCTCGTGTCCGCCCGCACTACCTTCTCCACACCAGCAGCCTTCACCTTGTCGTTGGCCTTCACGTCCCGCGCGCTCCGCTCGCTCTTGAGAGTCTTCTCGCCACGGCGAGTAGCTCCTACCACGTTCTCGTCCTGCTTCCGCACGCTCGTCACGTCACGGAGGATCTGGCTTGTGCGACGCTTCTCCTTCTCCTTCACCCCCGCGGTCTGCCGCTCACGGTCGTGGTTCTCCTTCGACGCATGCGAGCGCAGCTGTGAACTGGTCGTCGCGGGCGAGGTCTGCGGGGAAGGCGCGCGAGGACCAAGAGGCTTGCGCGTTGAGCGCGCAGCCTTCGAGGACACTGCCGCGTTCTCTTTCGTCGCAGCGCTGGCAGCAGCAAAAGTCGTAGTGTTTGCGGGTGGAGAGTGCTTGACAGGTGAGAAGGCGGAGAAAACGCTCGGAATGTGATTCTGTCGCTTCGCCTGAGTGACACCGCGGGCGGAAGTTGAGGGTGCAGCTACGTGGGCATTGTATTGTCAGCATTCTATGTGCCATCCTCAGGAGCACGGACAGGTGATTACCTTCAAGAACTTGGAGCTTAGGCTGGGATTGTGAGCGTGCATGACCCGCGACGCGAGTCTGTGCTGGCGCGTCCACGTCCTCCTTACTGGGCGCGTTCTCCTTGCCTGATATCGTGGCGAACTTCACAGCACTGTTGCGTTTATTGTTCTCCTTGTTCTCAGCCTTCGCCTTTACCGCCTTGTCTTTGTCCGCCTTTTCGGCCTTGGCGATTCGTTCCCGCTCCTTGTCCTTGTTCGCGCGCGATGACCATGGTGGGATGACGTCTAGCAGCTTCGATACCTCCTTGTCGAGCACAAGGGAGGATGAACGCGAATGTGACACGCTTGCCGATTTACCTATTGACGTTGTGTCAATACCCAGGGTTCAACTCGAGAAGTTGCGAACACATACGATGCGTCTTCTCGATCTCCACTTCTGCTGTCCAATACGGATCCTTCATCGCGTCGCTCGCGGTGCACCTCAGGTCTGCATTGGGCAGGATCATCCGGCGTAGCAGCCGCTCGACGGCCTTACTCATACGCCAGCTTCCAACCCACTTGCCACGGAGCGTGCGCGCCCAGTAGCGTTCGAGGTCGTCCTTCGTCGAGAAGGTCTCGGAGCCGTCGGCGTGTTCGAATGGCGTGCGTCCGACCAGTATCTCGAAGAACGTCACACCAAGCGACCACACGTCGGACTTGCGGGTGTCGTGTGGGAGGCCGCGAGCACGTTCTGGAGACAAGTACTGCGAGGGGTGAAGGGGAGAGAGGGCGGTCAGAAGAAGGTATCAATAGAGCAGAGATAGGGGCAAACCTCGGGAGTGCCGTAGGACAGGTTGCTATGGAACGCGTCGGATGCGTTGACGTCGTACCGCTCTGCGAATCCGAAATCGACCAGCACGGGGACGTTTTCGCTCGAGAGCAGGATATTCGCAGGCCTATTCGGGTCGTGTCAGTATGACGTCCGCATACGCGTTAGTGGACGTGTAACTGACTTGATGTCGTTGTGCACGACGCCTCGCTTGTGCAGGAACTCGACGCCGGATAGCAGGGACCGGAACCATTCCTTGGCGTGCGGTTCGGAGACTTCGACAGTGATGAGGCGGGGGTGATAAGCCCTGCATTAGATGTCACGCAAGTCAAATCTGCTTCCAAGCGGATGAAGAACGGAGAGGTGGACTTACATCGTGATGAGAGCGTATGAGGGAGTAATGATGAACGAGTAGAACGGGATAATAGATGGGTGAGGTTCTTGCTTCAGGGAGCGGACGACCTTCATTTCGTTCCATCTATGCGCATATACGAAGCGTTTCAGATGGTTAGAAGCAACCCCTTGCACCAATCCAGTAGACCCGATGCAGACTAGGACCAGTCACGCGAAAGACATCCACAAGCCCCACTGGCTACAGGCAATGTGCGAGCAAATTTGAGAAGTCATACTCGCGTGACCGTGGCCGAATTTGCACCGAGTCTGCTGAGAGAGGCAGAGAATACATACAGCGATCTGACGCGCGCTGCAGTAGTCGATGTCTTCGACCTGTGGACGAGCTTGACGGCAATCTTCGTCTCAAGGAGTTTCTCGCCGGAGGCAGACTTCGGGCGACAGAGCCATACGCTGCCCCAGTTGCCGAAGCCAATCTAAGGAGGATGAAACACGTTCAGTCTCGTAGCTTCTCGCTGTACGTGCCTCATAGTGTGAGAGCAGTGTATACTGACTTCCTCGATGAACTGGAGCCTATCCGCTAGGACTTGGTCGGAAATGGAGAAGATGTCCGTCGCCTCTTGCGGAGGCTGCGGGGGAGGGGGGGCCATGGTTGAGACTTGTAGCTAGAAGAGTGACTGGAGGCGAAGGAGATGAGAGATGCGAAGCTAGATGTACAAAAGCGAGGAAAGCAAAGCGACAGCGGAGAGAAGAGACCTCCTTCAAGCTCTTGAGGCTAGAGGGGAGGACTCGGTCGAGAGGAGGTCAAGAGGAGAAGGACGAGGGCATCAACGTTCAAGACCTCGCTTATGGGCGAGAGTCGAACATGGGCGTGAGAAGCCAACACTCGCCTAACACGAGGCGCGCCTGTCGCGTCCGTGTCGCGTCCACCCCCTGGGCGTCTCCTCGACGCGTCCGCTCACGCCACCGCGTCTCCGCTTACCCTTTCCAGCGATCCTTGTCCTTTCTGGGACAACCGCACTGGCCGCTCCACACTGTAAGTACGCACTTTGCGCTCGACGACCAAACCATCGTACCGTTCACCAAGGACGCTCTCACGTAGGGCTCAGCGAGGCAGATGACGGACGACAGCTTCGGAGGTTGCGCTCGCTGATCCGCAGCATTCATTAAACTCCTCTTCGCTCTAGGTTGTTCTCTTCAGCGTCGGTTCCGACACATTGACGTTATCCATGATCCCCCACCAAACCCACCCCCGCAATCTCAACCTGGAATAGTCTATAGCAGCGAAACATACTAGCAGCCGGGTTCCATCGTGGTCAGCGCCAAAGTGCCCTGGATGGCCCGCAATCCAGTGGTGTTTCACTGCACTTGGGCACATACCTGAGTCTCATGTCTCACCACCCAAAAATCACGGTATGTTCTTTCACAAGGCACCTGCATGCAATGAACTGAGACTACCGATTGCTCAAGTCAAGCAGGACAGACTATGGCGCCAGTATGAGAACTTGGATGTGATCCCCCTATCGCCCAAGTTGCACTTGAGGCCACATCACCTACAAGAGTGTCAGCCTGCCCGCCCGTGGACCGGTGTACTCGAGCGCATATCAGCGAGGCCCTGTGAATTGCCACGACAAATCCCAGAAGCTCCCGTGGTCGCTCGACTGTAAGCTTCATAGCTTCACAGTTGACCTGCAGAGAAGAAAAAAGTAAATGAAGACTAGCCCACCGCGGGGGTCGAACCCGCAGCCTTGAGATTGCTCAGCCCAGTTGCCTAGACCGTAAAAGTCTCACGCTCTATCCGATTGAGCTAGGCGGGCTTGAATAAACTGTTGCCGTGCACATACATATAGTGTTTGCAACAGGAGGGAAAATGGAAGAATAACGTCATAGTTAATGAGAGACCGAAGCCGTCCGAGAAGCGCGCGCCAGAGAACGTCCGCCGGGTAGAATTCCCTCGCCCTCTCTCTCTCCCCTGCACAGACGAACACCTTGCACTCACAGCCAGCTGTAGATACTCTCCCCCTCCTCTTCAGCACACCCGTCTTCTTCACTGTTTGACGCGATGGCCTCACGTGCTTTCTCTCGCCGCCTCCTCTCCTCCGCCCTCCGCGCACCCGCTCGCCCCGCAGCCAGGCGCTTTGCCAGCTCAAATGCCAGCCACGGCGCGAAGCAGGGCAGCGACACTCCCTGGATGGTGCGCATGCCCCGTATACATCGTAGTGCACCGTACTGAACGCGTTTGCTGTCGCAGATCGGCTCTGCGCTCGTCTTCGGTCCCATCGTACGCGTTTTGCGCTCTATGACGTCGCACGGGACCCAGCTGTTCTAACTTGCGTGTCCTGCTGTAGGCCGCGTACCTCCTCACGTCCCAGGGCAAGGACAAGGGCAAGCACTCTGCTGAGGCCCACCATGCCAAGGCCGCAAAGGCCCACGCGCCGTCTGAAGAGCTCATCAAGGACCCCGCGCCCAAGGAGGAGGAGCCTGCCCCCGCTGAGGTACGCTATCCAGCCACTGCCTCGCTCTCTTCGCCCTTGTGCTGAACAAACGCGTCTGCCGGTGTAGGAGCCCGCGAAGGACGAGCAGCCCGCCGAGCAGTCTGTAAGTTTGACTCCCCACTCACCCCCGCATTCGGTCTAGGCCCCCCTAGCTAGGCCCGCGGTCTGGTGTAATGACGTGCTGACGTGCGCGCGTGCCCGCAGGAGCCCGCATCGGAATCCGCGGACGGCAAGCTGCACGGCGCGCCCGCGATGACCGACTCCGAAGGCACGACCGCCTCCGCGGAGGAGATCAACGCGTCCATGAAGCAGGCGTTCGTGCGTATCTTGCTCTCCCCCTGCCTTGTCTCTTACCCCTTCAGTGAATGTTCGCTGACGATCCTTGTTTCGTGTGCGCGTGGGGTACGGCGAGCAGAAGGCGAACATCCCTGAGGACGCGCAGCGTGCGGAGGAGCATGACGACAAGTTCTCCCAGGGCGCGCCTGGCCAGACGGAGGAGGCGGAGACGAAGCCCGACCAGAAGGAGAAACCCGGCAAGCCGCACACCGGCACGCTCCAGAGCGACGAGGACAGCGGCCCCACGGACTTGGGCGACGCCCGCGAGAAGGCCAAGGTAAGCACGCTCGACGACATGCTCTTCGACGTGCGGGACAGCGAGCTGATGATGTGCGCGCGCTGCAGTCTAAGGAGGCGCCGAAGCAGGCGGCGCAGGACTAAGCTAGAGTATGGACGGACATGCGACGGACGTTGGCGACATGCATGTACTTACCTACATACAGTCTTTCCAAAATGGACGGTGGAAGTTGCTTTCCATTCACTCAGCGCTCTTCACAATTCAGAAGGAGCTCTTGCCCATCTTCCCCGAGGTAAAGTAGCCAATGATGCAATAGCACAGCGCATCAGTCCGAACGCAAAGCTCCAAGCCTCCTACAAGAACCGCTCGAACCAGCCCACGACCTGCCGCACCGCCTCGTCCCTCGCCTCCCTCTGCTTCGGGTCGTCCAAGTTCGCCCTCGTCGTCCACCCATGCTTCACGCCCTCATACACCCTCACCTCCACCTCGTCCTCCCCCAGCCCGCGCTCCCCCAGGCTCCCCTTCAAGATCCGCTCCGTCGCCTCCGCCCGCGCGCGGTCGAAGTCCGGGTCGTCGTCCGCGACCGCGAGGCTGAACGGCTTGCGGATCGCCGCGATCTCCCCCGGGAAGCGCACGAGCGAGGGGTGCGCGGCGACGCTCGCGTCGAACTGCGCGTTCTGCGTGATCGCGAAGCGGCCGCCCCAGCAGAACCCGACGAAGCCGAGCTTCACTTTGGGCGTGGCGGCGGCGGTGGTGGTGGTGGTGGTGGGAGCATCGCTGGGGGAGGCGGGGTTGCGCAGCGCGTTGGCGACGGCGGTGATGAGCGAGATCTGGTGCGGGAGGTTGCGCAGGACGAACGGGGCGAGGACGAAGAGCGCGGCGGGCGCGAGGACGTAGCGCTGGAAGAGCGACTTGCGGAAGTTGGACGGGTCGTGCGCGTTCAGCGTCCACGTCGGGAGCTCCCAACCTGGGCACGGTTTGGTCAGTCGTCATAACCAGGCGCAGGCGAGGATAAGGCGGGGAGAGAAGCGGCCGCGCTCACCGCTGAAGAGGTCCGGGACGACGACGCGGAACCCGTGCGCGGCGTACTCGTCCGCGAGGAGGCGCATGTTCACGAACCGCCAGCCGAAGATGTCGCAGCCGATGACGATGACGCGCGGCGAGTGCGCGTCGCCGACGACGTACGCGTCCACGCCGCCCACCTTCGTCTCGGTGCCCTTCGGCGTGCCGCTGTGCAGCGCGCCGGTGACGCACTCGGTGCAGGACATGGTTGGACTGTGCTGGGCACTCCGCTTAGTGCCTGTACTAGCTAGAGTGAAGTTCTGGACGAATTGCGATTGTTAGCTGAGCTCATAGTGTGGATAATGCCTTGAAACGTACTCAGAGTTAGCACAAGAGCAAGAACTGGCTCTCTTCAAATTGGGGCGGAATAGTTCACCTTCATGCCACCTGCGCTGCCTGCCCGTCTTTATCCGTACTCCTGAATACGCAGACCGGCTCCGGGGTCGACCCGCATTCCCGCCAGCACCACCCGGGAGCATCGAGTAAGAACTATACAGCTCGATCGCGAATTCGAAGGTTATATATTGCGCCATATCACACTGTCTGTCCCGTTTGGTCGAAATCCCGATGCGCCCGTCCCGAACAGCATCCGGCCCCGTCGGAGTAGGAGCTCATGGCTCGGTATTGCGCCCGGACCCGCGATGGATTCAACCACTTCCTTGCAGTTCCTTGCCGTGGATAGCGGACTGAAACGGACCCGTCCAGTTTGTATCTCCTGAGCCCCTGCGTAAAAAAATGTCAGTGAAGCTCGATCATTCTCACAGAGGCAAGTTGGGCCTCGACGGAGGTCCCAGGCCCTCGCGTGAGTTGTCAAACATTCGCTCGCAGGTGAAACCGCATCCGTCAGAGTCAAAAAGATTCTGTCCGGAGAAACTGATAATTGATGAGAGCAGGCAAGGGTAAATACTACAGAAGGAACACAGTGAGGTATCGCAGAGAGGTGGGGTATACAGCTAATCTACAAAGGGCATGCGGGTGATAGTGGCGAGATCGCGGCAGTGAAAGTGTGTCGTTGCAGATCTGGAGGAGAACGAAGGGGTACTTTGCCGACTGTCATCAAGTCGAGGGCGTGCAACTGGCCCAGGAGCGTCACGGAGGGCACGAGCCGACTATAGCTTTGGATCCGGATGCGAACCCCGAGTCGAAGGTGCCCGCCGATGAACGATAGCTTCTGGAGGGAGGCTGCGGTAGGTGTTGGACGGGAACAGCTGCGCCCGAGTTTGACTTGAGACGCTTGCTGCTGTCGTTGTCGCCGTGCGTGCCCAAAGCGCCAGAGGGCGCGACCTTGAGCTGCTTCGGGCTGTCGTCGGGGTACCGATCCTTGACCTTGTCTCGTTCAGGCCAGCGCAGGTCGGAAGGCAGTTTAGCCCGAGAGTCGTTGGTGAGGCAACAGTAGAGCAATGCGAGCATGTTGTCGTGTACGCATATTTTTTGCGCGTCCTTCAGTGTTTGTTCAGAGAGTATCTTCTGCGCCTCGGGCGCAGGCGCATCAAGCACCTCGTCTAGGTCGACAGACGCGTCAAAGTATGCGACCATACACTTCGCTCTTTCAGACTGGTCGGACTTGGTGTTCCCCGGAGCAGCGTCCTCTTCTCCCTTCCAGATGTACTTGTCCTCGTGCACATCATAGTGAGCCTTGAGCCACCGCAGAACCGTCCGGAAGATATGATCGAGGGCGGAGCCAAACCGAAGAACGCTGCGGGCGGACTCAGAAGTGTACAGCTCGCCAGACGTCATCGTGAACGTCTTCAAGCTGCCGCAACGATAACGCCCACAGAATATGCGATACGCTTCGAAATAGAGTTCCATGTAGGCCGGAACGTCCTTGCAGTTCGAGTTCAAGTATCGCACAGCGTAGTAGAGCAGGACGTGGAAGAACGCCTCGAGCTCGTCACTGATCTCGACGACCTTCGTCGGCTCGTTGACCAGTGCCACGGACATATACTGCCATGTCCCCTAAGAGGCGAGAGGAAACGTCAGTTCCCTCTTCTACAACGCCGTGAAGTGCTGCTACTCACTGTGCGCTCGGGTTGGCGGGCACGCCGGGGGCCTGCCACTTTGATGTCCTTCGATAGCTCCCAGTCCGTGAGGAGACCGCTCATCATCACGATGTTACGGTTGGGGTTTTGGGGGTCCTTGACTATTCTGGGATAGATCAAGATGTTGCCGCCGCTGATATCCCTGTGTAGGATGCCCGCCTGCGCCGCCTGCTTATGAGCTGCAAACGCCGGGCCGTCAGTAACTCGTATGAGATGCCATGAGGCAAAGTCTCACCCCCAATGCAGTCGTAGATCACAGACACCAAGTGATGCCCGTCTTCGAACGTCTCCAGTGACAGCCCGACCTCTTCCACCACTATCCGGTAGTGGAAATGACGTCGAAGCGGACACTTGTCCTCGGTATCATCCGCTTTGCTGCCTGCTACGCCAGGAAGCGGGGGTGGCAACTCCTGTTGGCAGTCCTCTTCGTCTCGACGCCGCTTCGTACCGCTTGCAGGCCCAGCAGGAACGACCGCGCCTGCTGAGGAATTCGAGGGACCTGTTGCTGGAACCGGATGGATGGCATGGGGCGTGGTAGGAGCTGTGCGGACTGGGCCCTTCTGCTTCTTACAAGCTGCGCCTTTCTTCTTTCCGGCAGGAGCCTTGCGCTGCTCCTCAGCAGCCTTACGATTCTTGTCCCAAATCTC